CTACAACTCCAAGACAAATGCCTGGAGTGGAACAGAGGTGGGAACACACCATTTGTCAATCTAACCAAGGCCTTTGAAATCGTCACTTGTGAGGGCTTGTGGAAAATTATAGCAAAATCTGGTTGCCTGGAGAAGTTCATCAATATTGTCTGTCAATTTCATGGTGGCGTGCTTGTCCAGGTTCTGGGTAATGGACGATGCTCTTGCATTTTCCTAGTCATCGATGGAGTGAAGCAGCTTTGTCTGCTTGCTCCCATGCTTTTTAGCATGCTGTTTTCAGCAATGTTTTCAGACACCTTCAACAAGTACAAACAAGGCATCAATAAGGCATCAAGGTCAGCTACTGCACTGAGGGTAAATTATTTAACTTGAAAAGGATAGCAATGACTAAAGTGAAGGAAGAGGTGATGCATGACTTTTTGTTCACAGATGACTGTGTATTCAATGCAACTGAGAATGGTTCAATTCTTTGCTGCTTGTGCTAATTTTGGCCTCCTAACAATTAACACCAAAATGTATACATTGATAATAAGGTTGAAGTATGCATTTCCAGAATCACTCACCCAATGGATGAACTAGGCATGTGATAAGAGTCTAAGAATTCTGACTCAAAATACTGATAACATTTCTATTTCTTAATCTACTATTTTGCAGCAATAAGTATAACAGTCTCCCCTTTATGCTGCTGTGTATTGTTTCTACTACTTCATCAGTATTGTGCACTTCAATTCTTATAATAAATATCACCATCCCTCAAAGAGAATTTTAACTCCGCTGTTTAAAGATGGAAGCCATCACCAAAGTAGCTAAGTCAGGAAATCATTCTCCAAAACTACAAACTGAATTTCCCAACTAGTAGATATATGAAAAGACTTAGACACCCAAAGAATAATGTGTTCATTACTGCTGTCATAACCAACTATTCCTAGGCTGGCAACAATGACATTAAAATTGGAATCTCTAGGATAAGTACAAATTAAATAAACTGTCCTTTATTTACATTACAGTAAGCCCAAGTAAAAAAAAAATGTGACTAATGCTTGAGAGACTTCAAGATTCAAGAAGAACAAAACAGTTCCTCACTTTTATAAATCTAAAGGAATAAATCCATCTATAGTTTGCTATGCATTAAATTAGTTAAAAGTGGCACTGGCCTAGTATAAAGAGACTGAGGTTGGCAGAACTAGATTAGAGTTCCATCTCCCTTACTCATATAAGCTATAAGACTTTCAATAATTCATTTAATCTTTTTTGAGCCTCAGTTTCCTCATGTGTCAAATGAAAATAACAGGTATTCTCTACCTCATAAGGTTGTTTCAAGGAAAGCATTTTTAAACTGTAAAGCATGATATAAATTATTGTCATTATTCCTGGTGTTGTCTCTTCCCTCTTTCACCATCCAGTTCTAGCTGGGCTGTTTATTTTTCTGAAAGATTCTGCTTTGACTGGGAATCTCCTGGGTCTTCCCTCATGGCTTGTAGAAATAATATGTAAGAGACAGGAAAGTAAGGATATTGAGTCTTTCCCCTGATTCTAAAGCAACTGAAGAAGTTATCCTGTCCATAGATTCTAAATTAAATATTCCAGCTTCAATTAACATCATACTGCCTCTTTTTCACTGCTTTTGTTAGATAAATCTTCTTCTGTACAATTTAAAAGAAAGCTACATTCCAAAAGTCCAACAATAGGTTGACTGATCACTCTTCAGTATGTTTACCTCCACACCTTTCAAGCCTTGGAAAATATACTTAAGCTCTAGCTGCAAGCTCTATCCCACCTCAAGCTCTAGGCAAGAATTCTTAACTCGGGGTCTGTGAACTTAACTTTTTTTTTAAAGTAGTGATCACTTCAAAATAATTGGATTATTTTGCAAAGAATCTCAAGTATCTTGTTTTATGTATTTAAAAGCATTATTCAGAGAAGGAATCCATCATTCACCCAATAACCCTGGTTCTAATCTAGTCCTAGAAAAGGAGGAATGCAAGATAAGCTATTTCAACAGCAGTCCACTTCATCATCTCATCATTCTTGCTTACTATTCATGTGCTGATCTTGGTGACTCAGTTTTTAAGGGGCTGATTACCCATCCTTGCAGCCTAGTCTCTTGATAGCAACTCATTTCCATATGGATCTTTACTCATTGGCCCCTTTTTTTGACTTCTGCTGCTTCTCTGTCCCTTCTTGGAATGATATCCTAGAATCTGGATCCTGCCTTGAATTTTACTTGTGGTGCTTTTATCCTGTCTCTCTTTCAGAATTACTAAGCCTGAGCTTAGTTCCACTTTCCGATTCTCATTCTTATGTGACCATTCTTCAATTAGAGGACCTTAAACTGTGAGCCTAGTCTGAGACTCTGGATAGCAACCTCACGGTGATGTCTGGATCATATTGGGGCAGCCTGATTGCTGTAAGAATCCCAATTTTCACATTTACTCGTTCAGAACTCAGAATGATCTTTTAAAAATAAAACTATTTAAAATGGTAGCTAATTAGGTTCCTAGATTAATCTGTGAATGTCCACTTAAGGGATGAATAACCTAACATAACTTTCTCAGTGTAGCTTCCAAAAACTAAGTCACTTCTATGCCAGGATGAATGACAGAGAATCCTTCTGGCAGATCAGAGTATGATCAGAGCGGAGGAGCGTGGGGAGAGAGATAAGGACAGACAGGACAATGATGGCAGATTTAAGTGGACAGAAAGTTCAATAAGAATCATCTCTGTGACATGATGACCAGAGAAGCTAATTAGACATCCTCAATCAGAGGCTAGGTAGCCACTGGTCAGAGATATTCTAAAGGAGATTCTTTTCCAGGTACAGGTGGCTCTAGATGACCTCTGAGGTCACTTTGAACAGCGTGACTCAATTTGGTGATTCTGTGATAACCTGAATGAACATCTGAAGTGAAGTACTTCCTTACCAAAGAGCCAGCTTACTGGAGTCATGTTTTATATCATAATTCCTCCACAGATATTCACTGTTAAGTACTTCAGCCCATACCCTCTAACAAACGGATAGTCTACTTTGAGCTGAGGGCTGGCTGCCCAAATGTTCAAATAAATGTCCTCTCTAGGGGAATCTGACGTTGGTCTTATAAATCACAATGGTATAAAATTACAGTATAAAATGTTATTTTGGCAAAAAAGGGATCATTCTGGAATAGTCAAGTTCATTACCTACTTAGCATATACTTCAAAAGACATGTAAACATCTATTGTTTACATTTAAAGATTACATTGTAAACCTCTAAGATTTGAGAGCAATGGTTCTTCTCTTTCCCCATCTTGACCTCTTGGCCTCTCTGGCTTCCTTCAAGTCTTGTCTAAAGTCTCACCTTCTGCAATCTCCTTTAATGTAAGTCCTCTCTTTCTCTTGATTCTCTTGACTTATCCTGCATATATCTTGTGTGGACACAGTTGTTGACATATTGGCTTCCCCATTAGATGTGAGCTCCTCCACAGCAGCAATCATGGGTGGCAGGGGAGGACCAGGAGGAAGGTTTTTTGTATCCCCAGTGCTTCCCACAGTACATGGCACACAATAGGTGTTTAATAAATGCCTGTTGAGAAGTGGCCACTCATCATGGTGTTGAGGCATAGGCAGTATTACAAAATACTCTGACTTTTAAAGAATGTTGTTGGACAACTTCTCCTCAAGTATGACATCAGGTGTAAGGTGTTCAATACAGGGTACCACATTTTAGGAATGACACTGACAAATTGGAAAAACATTTGTGCTTGCCAGTTAAAAATGATCTTTAAGAATTTAGTTGACAAACACAGCTCCCAGAATCAAATGTAAAATTTTAGACACATTAACACTGATGGATGGAAACATTAAGGAGCCTTGACATATACTTGCATTCTAATTCTTATCTTTATGTAACATATTTATACATAAATATTTATACAATATATATTTTGTATATTTTACATATACTTTCATATACTTTGGGCCCATTACATCTTGAGTAGACTAAAATCATAGCGTTTTCCACTTATATCAACAAAACTTTAAGCCACCGAGGCAAAATAATAACAGTACTTCATACTTATGAAGCACTTACATGCGACTGAGAAAATAGATGTGAACATACTTTGTAAAGCCCAATGTTATTATATTTCTTCAACAGAAGTAATGCTTTTACATTCTTATTGTGCACATTTTAATAAATTATATAGTATGTATACTTCATGTTTCCGGGAACATTCCTCAAAGGCATGAATCACTTAGGCAGCTAGATGGTACAGTGGCTAGAGTGATGGACCTGGAATCAGAAAGACCTGAGTCCAAATCCCTCATCAGATACTTACTAGCTATATGATCCTGGGCAAGTCATTTAAATTCCCTCAGTCTCAGTTTCCTCATCTGTAAAATGGGAATAATAGCAGCACCTATCTCATACATTTATTGTGAGGACCAAATGAGGTATAATGCTTTGCAAACCTTAAAGTGCCATATGAATGCTAGCAACTATTACCATTATTATCAGTAATCTTCTCTCTATCCCTATAGGTAAGGGAATGGCAGACTAGAACAATGCAATTTTACACAAATATCTATCTATCTATCTAGCCCTGTAACACATACACATATAAACATGTAAATAATATGTAAAAATTAGCTTCATTCATGAAACTTTTATCTTTTTCATTTCTTATATAAATGGGCAACATGTGTTATGGCAGCATGTTTCTGAGGATTGTTTTCAGGCTTAGTCTAAAATACAGGCCAAGTTGTTGATAAGTGGGATTATCATTACTAAAAAGAAGCAGGGTATTTTTAATTCCCTTGTTGTTCACATTGGAAACTTTTTAGAGAGGCAAAACAATAGTTGGCAGGTTCAGATCTCCAAAGTTTAGAACCTGGGAGCTCTAGGGATGTATCACTGGTGTCTGAGGCTCACAGTTCAATTCTATTAAGATTCTAGGTTGTGATGAAGGTTAAAGTTTCAACAAAAGTCCATTTTAATGAAAGTAGGATCCTTCTTGGAGCTTACCTCCAGAAAATGTTCTGCCTGCTGTTCTCGATCCAATTTCCTTGAAGTAGTTGTAATCAGACCTGTGTAGAAATGAGAATATTTGAATTTTAAAGACTTAGGGGCATTAGATGAAAATTGTACTGAGGGTGAGAGATAATGTCAGTTTCAGGGAAGGGAAACCAAGTGGGAATAGTCACTCTCAAATACTGGATGGTAATCAGATTTCTTCAGAAAGGATTCTGAAGAACAAAAATAAAATGTATGAAGAAAACTTTAAAATTTATTTCAATTCTGTTTATACAGTGGAGGCATTGTAATTACTACAGTGAAAGCAAAAACTCACTAAAGAACCATTGTTTTTGTTATAATGAGGAGTTTCAATGATTCATTTGCATATGACTGGAATTCTACAGTAAGAACCTCATTAAAGATTTTTAGAGTTCTTGAACAATTAATAGGTTGTGGATGCTGGTTAGATTCTTCTAGAGAATAGCACTTTCTTATTTCACTTTCAGATAGCTCTATGTTTTTTTTGGGGGGGGGGTTAGGCTTGACAAAGAAGGTTATTTCTGTAATAACTACTTGGATACATAATGATTTCAAATGTAATCGCTCTCATACACTGAAGATCTCATACTGTAAATTTCATCAATTTGTTTTATGTGTTTGAGTCTTAACACAAAGTATCTCGTAAAAGGAATAGATCCCTATAGCCTTAAACAGAGCTCTTTCATAAATGAATAACCTTGGTTAGTATTAAGAAAGGGAAGGAAATGAGGGGAGGGAAAAATACCCTCTAAGACCCCTTCCCCAACCCGCCTCCTATTACTCCACCAATTTGTCTTTTGACTACTTTATTATTTTTGAGTGGCAATTAAGAGGTCAAATTTACATTCCATTTTCCTCTTAAACTAAATCTCAGAAGAGGGGAACACATTATGGGTTGTTTCCTTGACTGACAGTGAAAACCCAACTTTTCCCACAGGCAAGGTCTGGAAAATGATATATCAAGCTAGTTCTCAGCCAAATATTTTACTAGTGAACTATGTGAAATGTACGCCTTTTGTTTTGTCAGGTATCCACACAGAGGAGCTCCTTCTCTGGTTTCATGCCTTTGTCTCCATTAGAAGTTCGTTGCTGCTAGATATCATGGGGGCAAGAAGCAGAGAGAGTTTGAGGAACGTTAAGAAAGCTGAGGGTATTGGTTCAGAGATTCTGATGTGGGTATAGTGGGAAGGAATGGATGAAGAATACATATACTGAGGAAAAGCAGAGGAGAATACAGACAACTTGAAGAAAAATCATAGAAAAGGAACTGCTATTTTTTTTTTTTTACAGAGAATGGAACTCTAAGTCCAGGGAGTCAGGAAAGCCTGAGTTCAAATCCTGTCTCAGACACTTGCTAGCCAGACAAGCTAAATTCTTTTAGCCTCAGTTCCCTAACCTGTAAAGTGGAGATAAGCACCCTTAACTCACAGGGTTATTTGAGGATCAAATGAGGTAACATATTCAAAGTACTTTACAAACTTTAATAATGTCACATGGAAAATAGCTATCATCATCATTGTCATCTTCTTCATCATTATCAAACTTGCCCACTAATGCAGAGATACCTTTCCTGATTCAAAGCCTCTGCCGTGAGTGTAAGGAGTAGGTGATGGCGCTAGATGTCTCGAAGGACTGAGGAAGAGGTGCCTTCAAGAGCACAAGCAATGGAAATTTAGAGAGCTACCAATCAGACTGCTCTAAATAGGGCTGAAGTGTTTTAGACCTGAATTACTATTAAATATAAGCACAGTAACTCCTGGGGCTGTGAGTCCACAAAATGGCAGAGAGAAAATAATTAAAAAGTGACTTAAATACCATCATTACTCAAAGAGCATGAGAGTGGAGGATTTTTCCATGGCTGGGAAATAGTGAAGACCCTCCCATCAAGGAAGGTTGCCTGTCCAAAAGGACCCAGTCTACAGAGGAGATATTCACGGAAGCAATTTCCTTGTTATAGTAGTCGATGTGCTCTAGCAACTGCAAATCATTTCAATTCAACAAATGTTAAGACACTGTGCTAGGTATCAGGAATATAAAGCCAAAAAAGAGAAGCAATTTCTGCCTTCAAGGAGCTTACACTGTACTGGGGCAGAGTTGGGGGTAGAATATAACATATACATGGATGTGTACAAGATAATTGGGGGAGAGAAAGACCATTATTAAGTAGATCATGGATGACTTCATGGGGAACCCACCATCAAGCTAAACCTGAAAGGAAGAGGCTGATATGAGAAGGAAAGACATTCCAGTTATGGTGGACATCTCAAGCAAATGCTCAGAAGGCAATGGAATGTGTAACTTGAATATGGAGGATTGGTAGGATGATTTAAAAAAAAAAAACCACAAACGTATTTCTGTTTCTTTCTAGCTTTGCTTTTTCTGCATGGCCCAAACTAAACAGGACATGGAGTGTGCCGCATGGAATCTTTTATCTTAAAATACAGAGAAGAACAGAACATCAGGAGAAACAGACTGTAAAATGGTGGCGGGGAGGGGAAAGCACTGGAAGAAGAAAACAGCAGGGAAAAAAAAAAAACAAAAAACTTACATCAAGTCATCAAGCAGTTTATTAAATACTTACCAAGAGTTAGACATGGTGCTCAACACTGGGGATACAAAGAAAAACAGTCCCTATCCTCAAGGAGGTCACATTCTAATGGAGTACACAATATGTCAACAACGAAGTACACACAAGATATATACAAGGTAAACTGGAGGTAATCTCAGAGGGAAGCCAAAAGCATTGAGAGGGAGCAGAAGAGGACTCTTTTGGAAGGTAAGATTTGAGCTGAGATATGAAGGAAACCAGAAAAGGTAGGAAGGACAGTATCTGGGAATGTGGGAGGTATAAATGCTGTGAAATTTTAATAATGGGTTCTCATGAGCTGATATGAGCTTGCTCCAGCACACTCCTGGCTTTAGAAGCCAAACAGAAGATTTTATATTTGATCCTGGAGATAATAAGAAACTAATGAAGTTTATTGAATGGGGTGAAGGTGATGTGATAAGGTGCTCTAAAAAGATCACTTTGATAACTAAGTGGAGGATGGACTGGAGTGGAGAGAGATCCAATCAGGGAGACCAAGGCTATTGCAACAGTCCAGCTAACAGGTGATGAGGGTCCATACCAGGATTGAGGCTACAATAGAAGAGAGAAGGAGGAATATACAAGAGATGTTGCAAAGGTATAACCAACAGAACTTGGCAAAGGATTTTGGGAGGCAGAACGAAAATGAGGAGTAAAGGGTGGTGATCCTGTGGGAAGGTTGTGTTATCAACAGGAACAGGGAATTAGGATGAGAAGAGTTTGGACAGAAAAATAATGAGTTCAGTTTTGAACTTGTTGAGTTTAAGATATCTGTGGAACATTTTGTTTGAGATGTCCAATAGGAAATTGGAGACATGAGGCTGGATGAAATTCAGGAGAGAGGTTAGGGTTCAGGTTAGTAGATCTGAGATTCATTAGCATGGAGATGATAATAGAACCTATGGGAATTGATGAGATCACTAAGCAAGACAGTATGGTGGGAGAAGAGAAAATGACCCAGGACTGAGTCTTGGTGGAGTACTCACATAAAAGCCTCAGGTGTTCACAAAATAATAAGATATTATATTTTATGATATTTTTATAGTTTTAAAAATATGCTATCACTTGATCATCTGTGAGATAAGTAGTGAAGATTTCATATGAGATCCCATACCTAGTATGGACTCACTTGGCTGGGTATGGACTCTATTAGAGTTTGGCCTTGAGCTCAGGTTTTCTGCCTCCCAAGTCTGGTGTTTTCTCACTATGCCCCACTTTCTCTCGTCAGTCAGTGTCGCTGTTGTGAACCTGGCAAAGTCATTCCCTCACTTGGCCTCAAAGTAGGGGTAGAGATAGGGGCTTTCACACATTCACACCACCTCCTCCGTTGAGACATTTTGCTCAAAGAGGATACAATGGAAATGAGGAATCCTTGCTATACTGATGCTATCAATAGCAGAAGGGCAGTCAACTTCTTTAAGGAGGTTGCTGTAATTCCAGCCTCAGCCTGCTGTTTTTCTAGACACAAAAAAACAGAAAGACCTTTGCCCTCAGACACCCTGAGGAAACTCAGATCATTTCAAGTTCCTTACACACTGAATTATTCATTCCACAGACCACTGGGGGCATTGCTTATTGCTCTGGGAAGAGTCCTGCTTCCTTTCCTAATTTATTCTCAGCGTAATTCTTCAGCAAATGTATTTATTTATTTATTTAAGCACAGGTGTGTAATTGGGAGAACCACCTGGGCTCCCAAGAGCAAAAAACAAATGGAATGTCTCCTCCTCTGTCGTTGTTGTCATGCCCTCAGCCAGAATATGTGTTTTGTGTAATTATCAGTCTACAGAGAGGGACCTCTGCTTCCTGCCAAGTCTGGGGCAACCCTCAAAGCACTGAACAGAGAGCTGTGGAAAGAACCCAGTGTTTCTTGCTCCCTGATGGGAGGTGGGCAAACTTGGGTAGATTTCCTTCTTGTGGGGTTCCACCTCCTTCCGCTTAAGTTTTAAAGCAAACAGAGAAAAGAAGAAAAAAAGAAGAAAGAAACTGAACAAGAGTTGAAAGAGAGATTTGGTTGGAACCACCAAACTCTGTCTGTCAGGAAATAAGAAACTTTCACTTTTCCCAGAGCCATCCCCACCTCAAAGTGCCTACGGGTACTTTTTTTCCTCTCCAAAGCAACTAATCAATCATTACTCTCTCCCAGAGGGAAGCAGAGAATCTTACTTGACACACCAGCTAGACCTATAGTTTCCAAAATCTGAACCATTTTGGAATTGCATGATCCAGAGCTGGGTTCAAATCCTTTGTCTGATATGAGCTATGTGAGCCTGGGCAGGTCACTCAACCTCTCTGAGCCTCAGTTTCCTCATCTGTAAAAATGAAGGGCTAGACTAGATGACCTCTGAGGTCTCTTTTGCTCTAAATCTGATTTTATGAATTAAAGACTAGTCTCAGATTTTATAATCAAGGAGAATTTACCTTGATTTCTGCTATTAGCATACATTT